TCCACCATGGGCCCACTCGATCCACAACGTTGACATCAGCAAACCGCTCACCCACACGACGCCATACATGCTGTCTGCCATCTGCTCTGTACAGTGAAAACTGGGATTCCATCGAATGTGAGCATTTGCCCACTCAAGTCGGTTAAGACGACGAACTGCAGTCAGGTCGTGACCCCGATGAGGACGACGAGCATGCAGATGAGCTTCCCTGAGATGGTTTCTGACAGTTTGTGCAGAAATTCTTTGGTTATGCAAACCGATTGTTGCAGCAGCTGTCCGGGTGGCTGGTCTCAGACGATCTTGGAGGTGAAGATGCTGGATGTGGAGGTCCTGGGCTGGTGTGGTTACACGTAGTCTGCGGTTGTGAGGCCAGTTGGATGTACTGCCAAATTCTCTAAAATGCCTTTGGAGACGGCTTATGGTAGAGAAATGAACATTCAATTCAGGGGCAACAGCTCTGGTGGACATTCCTGCAGTCAGCATGCCAATTGTACGCTCCCTCAAAACTTGCGACATCTGTGGCATTGTGCTGTGTGATAAAACTGCACATTTTAGAGTGGCCTTTTATTGTGGCCAGCCTAAGGCACACCTGTGCAATAATCATGCTGTCTTATCATCTAATTATTCCTGACAGGATGCAATTCGGTAACTCAAACGTAGTGATCATCACTGAAGATGGTCACAAAGAGGAGAATAGTCGCACAAGCAGAGAAAATACTGAACCAGACAGAACAAATTCATTGTTATTAAATGGATGCCACCTTATTGGGACAATAAAGCCCTCCCTATCCCTACCCGATACTTTATCTTCAACTTTTTTATTGTTTCCTTCATTTTTATTGAAAATAAATGCCTTTCTGATGTGATATGAGATTTGAAAAGGAAGAAAAAAGTTCGGTAAACGGATTGGGTCACGTGACGTCCAGAGCTCTATGGTCTTCGGTTGACAGGCGTCTCTCTCAATCACAGTCTCACACACACCAATGTTGTTTTAGTATTGTTGAGTTGCAACTAGCTTAGAATAAGTTATATATTTTTTTATATTATGTTGTAGGGCTGCACGATTAATCGAATGCGATTGTCATGCACATTTTGATAGTAATGCCGGTTCTGTAATCAGCAGGAAACCATCATTACGTGCTTTCAGATGGAGCAGAATTTACTACACATAGCCGTAGTTCACTGACAAGTTA